GAAGTATGGAGCGACGAGGCCCATTGAGGGTAATCAGTGTGCCTGACAATGATAATGTATCTCAAACAATCAAGCATTTTTCTCTACATTTTCGTCCTAAATGTTCCTTCCTGTAATCGCTCTGGTATTGTGCTGGTGACACATTCTGAGAGGAGTAACTGGAGGCTTGGACGGATCCTGACACTGTACTCGGCTCTTGTTTCACAGTGGTGTTAAGTGCCGTTACGGCACTCCATATGATATGTTTCTGATACCGCTACAACACCTCTCTCCCTCCCTCTCGTACTTAGTTAAATAATGCAGACGGTCTCTGATTTCCACGCTTGGTGATGACAAAGTGTGGAGGAGAAACAGTCTTGGCTCTGTTTGGAGGGCTCTCTATGCAACAATGCTATATTTATAACCTGTCATGATGCTGTGCCGTTGTCAGTACTTACTGTATCTATCATTTTTATGTTTTCAGACCATCCGAGCGCTGAACGCAAAAACTGAAAGTTTAGAAGCAGGAGGAACACTTCCTGTGAGGCTAGCTAGCTAGATAGATAGATAGATAGATTAAAAAAACAACTTTTGTTGAAAACCATGTCATTTCCCTGAAGAGTTCCTCTTCCTCTCAACTTCCTGTGGCCAATGCAAACCAAATTCTCACTTATGAATTGAAAGCTTGCCAATTTTTCAGTTATGAAATTTTCCTAGCCCTAGGAAAAATGTTAACAATCTAGACAGTTAATTTTGTTTTTAATCTAGGATACACCACATTACTAAAATGAAATCAACCCGGATGCTGTTTCATGTTGATGTTAAACAGCTCATCCCCATGAACAGCCTCTCACTTCCTGTGCTCTTCACGCTGTCTTATAGTACCACAGAGCTGGAAGACATTACATAGATTCTGTTTTTGGAATCCTCAGTGCTAAAATGCACTAAGAAAACCCACGCAGATCAGTGTGTAAATGTGCCTTACTACAGCTCTCTCCACAAATTATGAAATCAGCCGACACACATACGCATCCCAGGATCTCTTGTGTGGTTTTCAGGAATCTAAATCAAGCTGCTAAAACCAACACAGCTCAAAATCAAACTGAAAGAGAGAAATATATTGAAAAAGACAAGAGGACTTAAGTATAACATTCCATTTCATGACATTAGTTTTTGAGGACACTGGAAATGGCACAAACACACAAACATGCACATTGCAGTGAACTATCACTTCACAGGAAATGCTACGCTGAGATGACATGCAAATAAAATAAAAAAAATTCAGTTTCTACTGAACTGCACATGATATCTCCAGCTGCTGTGGTGGTTTGAGGGGGCCGCAGCACATAAAACGTGTGTTTGCTGTGTGTGTCTGTGCATGTGCACACACCCGAGGACAGGAAAAGGAAGTGTACGAGAGATGACAACAGCCTATCTGCACTACTATACAAAAGTCAAAGCCGATGAAATGCCTCCAGCAGCTGGGGAAACAGACCCTCAGCCCACGGTCTACAGCACTTTCACAGCCAATAAATGCCAAGAAAATAAAACAGTGCCTCTGAACTTGCAAATGTATTCTTGTTTGTGCCTGATGTTGCAAAGAGACTCACCCAAAGAGACCTTCGGGGGCTTTCAGATCAAATCAGCTGTATTTTACACCAAAACTGAAGGGATAAACAAGACCTCAGGATGGAGCAGTTAATGTCACTGAGGGGCAGTGAGGCTAACAAAACACAGCTAACTGTGAGAGAGCGCTAACAGGGCTAATGTTTTGAGGCCACGGGGACATGAGGGCCAGCACACTGTGCCTGCATGATATGAGGATATTAGGGTAATGTGCATGAAGAACATTTTGTATTCTCATGAAACAAAGACAAGAAGAGAGAGAGGTTTAAGGGTTGTGAAATATACTAAATAGGGGAAGTGTGAAGTGAAGTATGACAGGAGTGTGTTTAGAATATTCAAGAGAGTTTTTTTATCACCCCACTGATTAATAATATATTCTCCTCTCATAGCTATTACAGGGAATAATAGTTTATATACAGACATAAATTACACTCAATTTTTCTCCTTACTTAATTCAGGAAGGAGAAAAACAAATTTACACAATTTTAAATATTAAACTTTTAATGTTTCTTTAAAAAGTAACATTAACATTTTTCTTCCAATATCAACTATTCTGTTCTTTGTGCAAATACATACATTACAGTTTAAAAGGGTCAGCATCCTGAAAATAATGCATCATGGTTTCCTCGTGAATATTAAACAGCATTATTTTCAACACTGATAATAATCAGAAAACTTTCTTAAGCACCAAATCAGCATATTAAATGATTTTTGAAGAATCGTGTGACATTGAAGACTGGATTAATCGCTGCTAAAAATTCAGCTTTACCATCACAAGAATAAATTACATTTTAAAATATATTAAAATAGAAAACTGTTGTTTTAAATTGTAATAACATTTCACAATGTTACTTTTTACTGTATTTTTTACCAAATGAATGCAGCCTTGGTAAACATTAGAGACTTCTTTAAAAAATAAACAGGCAGAAAATGGCAAGATAACAACAAAAGTGCTTGCCAAGCCCAAGAGTTATCTTAGCAAATGCCCTTGAGATTCACACACACACACACACACACACACACACACACACACACACACACACACACACACACACACCCACACACACCACTCCCCTATCTCTCTGCTATCACTCTACAACACG